TGAGTTGGTAATGTACGCTGTTACTGTTTCTGTCTAGTTGTTGGTAGACTTCTCTCCACGCAGTGTTTAATAAAAAAAAATCACCACTTTGTGGTGTGATGGAAATGATTATCCTCTGAATGTTAGAATAAAATGTCAATAATTGTATATTATTTCATTCATTTCATGAAAGACGCAATTGGGGAGTGCTACACAAGATGTGTACACAAGATGGAGAAATAAAACAATTATTTCTATCAATATCTCTAATTGTGTGTTAGATGATCTTCTAAATGCTGGATTGAATGACCCATAGCAGAAGAATAGCTCAGATAATGACTAAAACCTTGGCCCTGAGAAAGAGTGGAGCTATTTATGAAAAGGCCCTGCACACAAGCAGGGGTTTTGACATATTCCAGTTTAATAGACTGCTGGAAAACAACTTGTTCCAGACAATTTTGTGACGAGCTTAAATTGTCCGATCCTGGCAGGTTTGCCAAAGAAGAATACACGTTGATGTCGTCCGGAGAAGTGTTTCCAACAGGTGAAACAAATCAATATCGGGGGGTCCACATCTTTAATTTCAGTAAATATTATGTCACCTGTCCACTGTGTGCCCTCATTGACTTTATATTTGCACATCATGAATGGCACCTGCCTCCACAGCTGTTCCTCATTTGCTCTTTAGCTTCACTAGTAGATGGAGAGCTCTACAGAACTCTTATCAGACAGCTGAACCACCTCTTTTACCTTGAAGGGCTGTTTACCAGCTTATTTCCGATGGTGCATCTGCCTTCTCGTTTGTCTGACAACAGCCTGTCTGATCCCGCGCTCATGTTGCCAGCTGTAAGCTTACCTAATGATCAGGTAAGCAGTCTTTTAACGTTTTATTCTGTCTCTCAAGCTAACTGCTATAAATACTTGCAAACATCAACTGTAAGTCTAAAATAAATGTTAAAAGTGTACTTTGTGAATACTATGAGCTATGTTTGTCGGCGAGGCATTTACAAATGGCATTTGGATGCTTTTGCGGTTCACATTACACAGATTTTTACCAACATTTGTTGCTGGTCTGATGGAGGGGAAAAGCCAGCCTGCCGTGTGCAGATCTCTATTAATGGGTTAGGCTATAATAATCAGAATATGGGTTAAATGTGTATGTGTGTGTAGATGGTTACATTTTTGGCTGTTCAAGCAGTCCGGTATCTAAAAGGCAAGATTTTAAAATGGAAACATGGACTACAATATATATCCTGTGGTATTTTTAATGGAGCTGTTCAGAAAATATGAAGAAAAGGCATTAAGACAAGCATAGCATTAATTATACTCTTCTTGTCCATCTCAGGGAATAGAAATGATGATGGTGCAGGCAAGGAAAGAAGACTCTCTCCACCTCTGCTGTTTCAGCATTTCACCTGAGGGAACGATGTGCAGCCAGTGAGTCCCAAACTCACTTGAAGCTCCCATGGGGCTATATTAGTCAGATGGGTATATAGAGGTAATCTAATGAAATGGATGTAGAACGTGGGAGATGGGGTATGAGTGATCAAAGTCCCAAAGGACCCAAAAGAAAGGCATGTTCAGTTCTCTGGATCTCTGTATTGACTCAAGTGTATTTTCAGGTGACATTTTTTTAAAACAAAAGGCCAATTTTAAAGAATGAGTTACAGCAGTCTGAGTCAGTGGACAAACTACAGTGGTCTGGTGTGCCATAATGAGCTGCGGGGTTTGACTTGACTTGCTGAGCTTGCAGCGGTTGTCTAACTCAAATGACAAACCGCTGGGCTCTGGCAGAGGTGGCCTTCAAATACATTGTCTTCTTCTACCAACTCTTCCCACTCGTCAGGTTAAATCTCCCTTGATGTCATTGCTCTGTGGCATCCACTCTCATCTTTGGCATCAGACGGCTCATACAATGTCATCCTGAAAAAATGCAAAAATTGTAAAAGCTGATGTTTGAAACAGAGAGGAAGAGCTATATTGAAGTTTAACTTTAATAAAGTGGCGCCAATGAAGTGTGGGCTATATCCAGGCTCCATCAGCGGGGCAAAATGTAAATGTCAGGCACATTGTTATCACACAATAGGAAAAAGGACAGAAGCATGAATGACGATAGAACCAGAGGCAGCCAGAAAGCAACACCAAGGCCACACAAGGTTATATACATATAAAAATCTCTCATATCGCCCAATTTAAAATGAGCCCACAGATTTAAACTGATCCTTCCTTTATACAGCTCAAGCCCTGCTTGAAAATAAGTTGTAAGGTCAGTGTCCCAGACAGTCTGCCGCCTGATCTTGGGTCATATATTGAAGAGCTTAGTAGTTCTCAGGAAAGCGACTTCTAATATTAGCAATAAATGCATACTTTAGAGTCATGGTAAAAGAAAAAGTGCACCCTTTTATGTATTGGTTCATAATAAAAATATTCTGGTCCTTAGCGGTTCTTAAAATTACGTAAACACAACCTCAGATAAACAATAACCGTGTCATATTACCACTGTTTAATTATTTATTTAACAAAAACGGAGCCAAAATGAACAATCAGTGTGAGGAAAACTAAGGATATCTTTACTGCTTCCATATAAATTAACAGGGTACGTAGCAACAATCTGCTGCAAATCAAATAGTGATGAGTCAAAGGTTGATTGAGCCTAAAGTCTAAATTGTTTGGAAAAGGTCTTACAATCTCCAAACTGCCAAAAGTTAGAAATATTATTCAGAAGTGGAAAACATTCAAGACAGTTGCCAGTCTTCCCGGGAGTGGACATCCCCAGTAAATTCACCCCAAGATTAGATTGAGCAATGCTAAGAGAAACTGTAAAATAAACCCCCCCAGGAGCTACAGCCTCAGTCAGCATGTTAAATGTTTAAATTCATGACAGTACAATTAGAAAAAGACAATCAAATGTGGCCTGCCAGGACAAAGCCTTTTCTCTCTAAAAGTTACACGGCAGTATAGCTTCGGTTTGCAAGTCAGATCTGAACAATGTCCTTCCAATAATGAAAATGGAAATGTTTGACCATAATTCACGGCGCCATGCTGGTGAAAAGCAATCACAGCCTCATACCACCTGTTAAGAGCTGTGTTGTAGGGATGACGACTTGGTTCTTGTTTTGGAGCCTCAGAATCTGGCCACCTCACAGTCACTGAGTCAACCAAAGTATGCTAGGGTAAAATGTCAGCCCTTGTTTTTGACAGCTAAAGCCTGGATAGAATTAGGTCACGCAAAAGGACAAAGATCCAAAGCACCGCAGCCAGTCTTTACCAGAATGGCTGAAAAAAGAAAAGAATCGAGGTTTTGTAATGGCCTAGACAAAGTCCAGACCTCAACCAAATTGAAATGTGCATAAACTGATACCCACAAATCTGCAAAGAATGGACCAACATTCCACTGCAATGAAGTGACAGATTGATAAAGTCATACAGAAAACAATTATTTCAAGTTATTGCTGATAACTATGCTGATGTGTATGACAGTGTGTACTTAAACACACTGCTTCTGCATTTTGGCTTAGGTTTTCTTGAATAATGACACACTTACGGCTGCCACGATTAGTCGACTAGTCACGATTACGTTGACTATCAAAATCGTTGACGACTGATTTAATAGTCTATGCGTCGTTTGAAGCTTTGTAAGATCACAAAAGACGCAGGAATAAGTAGTAGGATTTAAGAGTGTAATAACGGACTGAAACAGAAGATGGCAGCACTGCATGTACAAGGATGCCAGCTGCCGTTAAACCCCGAAGAAGAAGTAGCTCTGTCTCAGAATTCATAGCGCAGCCCAGCTCAGTTTCCAACAATGGCGGCAGCTAGTTAGTTTTAATGTTACCCGTATTATTCTTTCTGGGTCACAAAATAAACATTTAACATATGTTCAGGTGAGAATGTAACCGTGTAAACCTCAAATATCTGCTCAGTTTATCAAGACACCACATATTTTCAAAAGCGCTCCGACTTTTTCGGAGACGTCTGTTACCCACTAGCACGATAGCTAGCCGGGGGCAAGGCTCACTAGAGCCCGTGAGAACACCGGACTCCCGGCAAATCATTTTCAAACCCACCGCCGTCTTTCGCTACTCAGGTTAAACATGTATTAGTCACTTAGATAACTTACAAATGTTATTGTTTGTTTGTTTTTTTTTTGTATTTTAATTGTTCCTGAGTAAATCGGTTTGGCTGAGATCAAAGTTATAGTTTTTACACAGCTGAATAAACGTCAAGCAGACAACTGATTATCAGAAGTGTGAGATGCTCGAGAATTTACTCCGGTGTCCCGTTATATTTTAGATAGCAAGGAGTTTATTAAACTTCACTGAAACAATTTGCAAATTTCATTAAAATGTAATAAACTATCATCTTGTCTTTATTTTTAGTTAGCACATACCTGAAACACTTAAAGCTGTAAGCTAATGATAGTGTCACGGCTCAACGGCACGAGGGAACAGGGATGGACACAGGCGCAGAAACCAACCCGGAAGCGAGGTGACAGAAAACAAATGATTTATTTCCGCCCACAGGAAAACAAAGGTGAAACACAAAGCGACGCCACCACACTAGTGGCGCGTAGGATTAGTCTGTGAAAATGAGGGTGACCTAGACACCTCTAGGAGACGGCTGAACAGCGGGGACAGCGGGGAGGTAGAAACAGGACTAGGTAGGGGCCGGGGCATTGGTTTCAGATGGAGGGGACAGGTGGAGCGGAAAACCCGGAAGCGGTCGAGGCGTGGGGAGGCAGGCAGGTGAGCAGTGGGTCGGCAGGCCACGTTGTGTGAGCAGCTGGCGGCCCAGGTCCAGGAGGACGGGAGCGAGGGGAACAAGATCTCCACTCCGGGTGCTATCGATGGGAATAGGAGATACTCAGGCGATGAGTGGTTGAGAGCGCAGGTCTGATATACCGCTGGCACGATTGCTCACAGGTGGTCAGCCAGGGAGGGGCAACCGGACTCCGCCTAAAGGAGGAGGAGCCGCTGTCTGAGACCTGCAGGTGCCCAACCAGACCATGACACCACCCCCCCTCAAGGGTCGCCTCTCGGCGACCGGCCTCTGTAGAATGCCGAAAGCAAGGCGGGATCGAGAATCCGGGACCGGGGAACCCAGGATCTCTCCTCCGGCCCGTACCCCTCCCAGTCGACCAGGAACTGCCTGCCCCTTCCCCGGCGGCGTACATCCAGGATGCGGCGGACCGTGAAGGCAGGATGCTCACCGATGAGCCGGGCGGGCGGCGGGGCAGCAGGAGGCGGGCACAACGGACTCACAACAACCGGCTTGACTTGGGAGACGTGGAAGGTCGGGTGGACCCGTAACGAGGAGGGCAACTTTAGCCTGACCGCGGAGCGGCCAACCACCCGCTCCACCTCAAAAGGACCGATGAAGCGTGGGGCCAACTTGCGGGAGTCCGTCCTGAGGGGAATGTCTCTGGCGGATAGCCACACCTTCTGTCCCCGGGCGTAGGCAGGTGCCGCCTTGCGGCGGCGATCCGCGTAGCGGCGCTGGCGGGCGACGGACAGGCCCAAGGCCCGGCGGGTGCGCGACCACACCCGTCGGCAGCGTTGCAGATGGTGCTGGACGGAGGGGACCTCAAGGTCGGTCTCGCGCTCCGGAAAAAGGGGTGGCTGGTAGCCGAGAGAGGCCTCAAAAGGCGAGAGACCCGTCGCTGACGAGGTGAGGGAGTTGTGTGCGTACTCCGCCCACGGCAATAACGATGACCAGGAAGCCGGGTTGGAGGCAGCGACGCAGCGGAGAGTGGCCTCCAATTCCTGGTTGAGGCGTTCAGTCTGACCATTAGTCTGAGGGTGGTGTCCAGAGCTCAAACATGGCTTCGCTCCCAGGGATGTACAGAACGCCCTCCAGACCTGCGATGTAAATTGCGGTCCCCTGTCTGAGACGACCTCCGAGGGTATCCCGTGCAGCCTAAACACATGGTCGACTAGCAGATTAGCGGTTTCAGTGGATGTGGGGAGTCTCTCGAGGGCGACAAAGTGAGCTGCTTTGGAAAACCTGTCGACCACAGTGAGGATCGCGGTCTTGCCAGAAGAAACAGGTAGACCAGTAACGAAATCCAAAGAAATATGCGACCAGGGGCGCCGTGGAATAGAGAGAGGCTGCAGCAACCCAGCCGGGCGTTGCGTGTTAGATTTGCCCCTAGCACAAACACAGCAGGCGGCCACATACTCCTTGACATCTTTATCAATAGACCCCCACCAGAAATACCTTTTAATAAGGGCACTCGTCCGCGCGCCTCCTGGATGGCAGGAGAATCTCCCCTTGTGGACCCAGTCAATCACTTTGGAGCGGGCCGCCTTAGGGACAAAGCGGCGGTCAGGGGGCCCTGTGCCGGGGTCCGGCTCGGTCTCCAGTGCCCGACGGATGTCCTCCTCCACCTCCCACGTGAGGGAACCAACCTTGACGCTCGCAGGGAGGATGGTGGGCACGGCGGGCGACTCCCCCGTGGCGTCAAACTGCCGGGAAAGGGCATCCGGTTTCACGTTGCGGGACCCTGGGCGGTAAGAGATTGAAAAGTTAAAGCGACTGAAAAACATGGACCAGCGTGCCTGACGTGAGTTCAGTCTCTTGGCTGCACGAATGTACGTCAAGTTCTTGTGATCTGTCCACACTATGAATGGGTGCTCCGCCCCCTCGAGATAGTGCCGCCACTCCTCCAAGGCCAGCTTCACAGCCAACAGTTCCCTATCCCCCACGTCGTAATTCCGCTCAGCAGGTGATAAACGACGGGAGAAAAAGGCGCACGGATGGAGCTTGGACGCCGTGCCGGAGCGCTGGGATAACACCGCCCCCACCCCGATGTCAGATGCATCCACCTCGAGAATAAACTGTCTCCCGGGGTCGGGGTGAACCAAAACCGGCGCCGAGGTAAACAGTGCCTTTAACTTGGTAAACGCTGCTCCGGCCTCCTGGCTCCAAATAAAAGGGAGCTTCGGTGACGTCAGCTGGGTCAGCGGCGCTGCTACCTGGCTGTAGTTCCTGACGAAGCGCCGGTAGAAGTTTGCAAAGCCCAAGAAGCGCTGCAGATGCCGCCGGGACGCAGGTACGGGCCACTGCACGACTGCCGTGATCTTAGCCGGGTCAGTCTTCACCTGCCCCCCCGCGAGGACGTAGCCCAGGAAGGAGACGGAAGGTGAGTGGAACACGCACTTCTCCGCCTTTACGTATAATTTGTTTTCCAGCAACCGCTGCAGCACGGCTCTGACGTGCGCCCGATGTTCCACCACATCTTTGGAAAAAATCAGAATATCGTCGAGATAAACGAAGACGAAGCGGTCCAGGAAATCTTGCAGGACGTCGTTCACCAGGTTTTGAAAGACTGCCGGGGCGTTTGTGAGACCGAAGGGCATCACTAAATATTCGAAGTGCCCCAAGTGAGTGTTAAAAGCGGTTTTCCACTCGTCGCCCTCCCTGATTCTGACGAGGTGATATGCATTCCTGAGGTCTAACTTGGTAAAAATGGTGGCACCGTGAAGCGGCTCAAAGGCGGAACTGATCAGCGGCAATGGGTATTTGTTTTTTACTGTTATGTCATTAAGCCTCCTGTAATCAATACAGGGACGGAGCGAGCCGTCCTTCTTACCGACAAAGAAGAATCTGGCCCCGACAGGCGAAGAGGAGGGTCTGATGATGCCGGCCGCCAGGGAGTCCTTTATGTACTTTTCCATGGCTGCCTTCTCAGGATGAGACAGATTGTAAAGGCGGCTCGTGGGTAGGGGGGAGCCCGGTAACAACGTAATGGAACAGTCATATGGCCTGTGCGGGGGCAGTGCTTGGGCTTTGTCCTTGTTACACACCTCCCTCAAATCGTGGTACACTGACGGTACGACAGAAAGGTCCACGGCAGCACTCGCGTCACGTGTGGGCTCGGCAACGGCTGACGGCGGGGCTGAGACGAGACAATTGGCATGGCAAAACGGGCTCCAACTTATTACATTTTGCCCAGCCCAATCCAGATGTGGGTTATGTAGCTTTAGCCAGGTGAAACCAAGGACGATGGGGATGCTGGAGGAATGGAACGTCAGGAAGGGGAGCCTTTCCCTATGGTTGCCTGAGGCGACTACAGTAACAGGAGCGGTACGGTGAGTGATGTGGGAGAAAACTTGGTTATCCAGTGCTTTAACTGGGAGGCTAGACTCCAACTCGAACAGGGGAATATTCAGTTGCTTGGCTAGTTTCATATCAATGAGACTCTGCTCAGCGCCCGAATCGATTAACGCCCGGGACGTGTGGGTTGCGGAGCCGAGCAAGAGCGTAACCGGCAACAGGAAGCGGGGCTTAGAATCACTATAGGTACCGCCCACCCGTATCCCCGGACTTACCGGCGGGCGTCCCCTTTTCCCTTCTCCGGACAGGCGGCAATGAAATGCTCCGCGGAACCGCAGTAAAAACACGAACGAGCGCGGCGACGTCTCTCTCTCTCTTGCGGAGACAACCGGGATCGCCCGAGCTGCATGGGTTCCGGTTCCGGGTCAGCCCTCTCCCCAGCGACTGGGGCTGATGGCTGAACAGGAAGTGGCGACGGGGGAATGTAAACAGGTGACGCACGCCGCACTGGCCGACGGGTGCTGGAGTTCCTCTCCCGCTCTCGCTCCCGCAGTCTGTTGTCAATGCGAAGCGAGAGCGTGGCTAACTCCTCGAAGGTAACCGGTTCGTCACGGGACGCTAGCTGATCCTTCATGTCCTCGTTAAGCGACTGCGAGTAGACTCCCTGAAGGGCTTTATCGGGCCAGCCGACTGCCGCTGCGGCGGTGCGGAAGTCGATCAAGTAGTCCGCGATGCTACGGCGGCCCTGGCGGAGATTTAACAGCCGGCGAACCGCACTGCCCACCGAGACGGGGTGGGCAAAAGTCCTTTTGAATTCGCCGAGAAAAGCATCGTAGCTACAGGACGGCAACGGGTGTGTGCTCAGGTAAGCCTCGGCCCAATTCAGGGCTCGGTCGCGCAGTTTCCCGATTATATAAGAAACTCGAACCGTGTCCGAAACGAAAGAGCGGGGCGAACGTCCGAACGCCAGCTCGCACTGTAACAGAAAACCGCTACAGGCCCCTGGGTCACCCGCATACGGCTCCGGCTCCGGGGAGGCCGCGTCGCGAAACAGGTGACCCCGCTGGGGCTCGGGATCCGCCGCGGGCTGAGGCAACGGCGCGGTCGGGGCGGGCAGTGCTGAGCTACCGGCAGCGGGTTCCGACTCCGCCGAGGGTTGAAGGGACTGAATGTCGGATTGCATTTTAGCCTGCTCGTCTGTGAGTGTGTGCACTTGAGCCAGTAGGTACTGCAGCGTCTGTTCGTGGCTACCGATAATAGCCCCCTGCTTACTGATCGCTACGCGGGCTGGGTCCGCTGTGTCCATATAACTGGCCTGAGTATACTGTCACGGCTCAACGGCACGAGGGAACAGGGATGGACACAGGCGCAGAAACCAACCCGGAAGCGAGGTGACAGAAAACAAATGATTTATTTCCGCCCACAGGAAAACAAATGTGAAACACAAAGCGACGCCACCACACTAGTGGCGCGTAGGATTAGTCTGTGAAAATGAGGGTGACCTAGACACCTCTAGGAGACGGCTGAACAGCGGGGACAGCGGGGAGGTAGAAACAGGACTAGGTAGGGGCCGGGGCATTGGTTTCAGATGGAGGGGACAGGTGGAGCGGAAAACCCGGAAGCGGTCGAGGCGTGGGGAGGCAGGCAGGTGAGCAGTGGGTCGGCAGGCCACGTTGTGTGAGCAGCTGGCGGCCCAGGTCCAGGAGGACGGGAGCGAGGGGAACAAGATCTCCACTCCGGGTGCTATCGATGGGAATAGGAGATACTCAGGCGATGAGTGGTTGAGAGCGCAGGTCTGATATACCGCTGGCACGATTGCTCACAGGTGGTCAGCCAGGGAGGGGCAACCGGACTCCGCCTAAAGGAGGAGGAGCCGCTGTCTGAGACCTGCAGGTGCCCAACCAGACCATGACAGATAGTTAGAGATGCATGCTGGTGCAATAAACTGTACGTTTTACATCCAATGGATGCATGATCTGATTAGTCGACTAATCACAAAATTAATCGGTGACTAGTCGACTATCAAAATAATCGTTTGTGGCAGCCCTAGACACACTGCATTATTTTTTTTAATAGTACATCTGAGGTTGTAGTTCCCTAATTTCTAGAGCTACTAAGGACCAAATGACTAAGAAGCTTGGAACTGAAAGAGGGGGCACTTTCTTTTTACAATGACTGTATATATTTCTAAAACATTCTGAGTTAAATCTCTGGCTTTAGTGGCTTGAGTATATTTACACTAAATTCCAAATGAAAACAACTAAACATTGGACTCTTTAAATTAGAATGTTAGTTGATGTTAAAAATGAGTGTTAGCACTTCAAACTGGAGGCATTGGGTAACAGTTTAAGGTCAGAAATTCTTGAGGGGTCTCAATATAAAACCTGACAACTTTCCTGCCCTTGCTCAGCACTACAACATGATAAGAGGTCAATACAGGTCTTAGCTTAATTCTAATACAAGCTAAACCAATGACAACCGTTGGGATCTGGATTGAGCAGGTAACCTGACCACTCTACAGTAAGTAACCCCAGTATACAGAGCAGAGCAGGCATCAGTGAAAGTAGCATGTGGACGTGGGTTGCAAAGCAGCTTTAAGAAGCATCATTAAATGTAGGCAGGTTAAAGCAGCTTAAAGTGCATCCTATATACAAACTGGTAGGAAGGTCAGCTGATTTGGGCTGGTATAGATATCAGCAGTGTTTAGCTGATGTGATGGGAGTGCAGGCTGATCATGAGTTTGTGGCCTGCCTGAACTAATACTTTTGTATCCTCTTGAGGGACAATCTCAGTGTTTCCTCAAATTTAGCGAAGTTTCTCACCAAACCAGTAGCTTGTGAAACTGAATTCAGCTTTTTCTTTTTCATCCACTTGTCTGTTAATGCAAAACTCCAGTAGAAAACCGGGGTTCTGCCAACTCCTAATAGAACATAGCAATACTTTATGCTTAAGAGAGTCCGCTGCAGGTGGATTTTTGTGCCTTTGTGTGTGTATGTGCCATAAAAGGCTTGTCTAAAGCAGGTTAAAAAAAAAACGGAATTCACATTAACAAAAGCATATTTCCATATGGTTTGTGTAGATGTTAGTTATGCAACTCACAACTGCTGAAATTCACTTTCGGCTGCCCAGAAAACCAGCATTAGTTGGTCATCCTACTCTCTAAAGGCCCTCTGGCTGTTAATATGTTGAATCAATGTGTTTTAGTCACTATCTGGCTTCAACCTCGTCTGTGCCTGTATTAGATAAGAATAACTGAATTTTAATTTATGCAACATTAAGGTTTAAGTGATGTAATTTTCACTCGCATTAATAGTCGGGATTATTTGTGCCCACGACACATGGACGTATAACCCACTTGGTTTTTTTCTTTCTTAGAAACTGCCTGTTATGGTGACGTGTTTCTGTATCCCCCTATTTATGTGTTTAATTTATGCAGTTTGAAAGGACATGAAGGTGAAGCATCAGCTGTAGTGAAATTATGAAGTTACATAATAGTACTGGTGTTACAACCATCTAAGCACATGATGTCCTTGCGATGAAAAAAAGCACTGCTGAGTGAGCGCTGCTGACCTTGGATTTGATGGACTGTCATTCATTTCCGAGAGCTTATAATAATTAATGCCCCTGCCCATGGTTTGTGAATGGGGCCATGTATCTTGGACTTTTTTTCCCTCCCCTTCTCCAGTTCCCTCCCACAATTCCTCAATGGGAGTTAAAATCGCTCTTGCTCAGAGCACGTCTGCACATAGTTGGATTCAGACAAGGGGAAAGCATTAGGAGCACTGTAATGCAGCTTTTGGCAAGATGGAGACCTGTGCATTCATTATATTGGTCCCTCTTTATTTAGTAGCAACTTCATCAGCATAGCCTTGTCATTTAAGGGCACAAAAGTATTTTTTTCCCTCTTAAATTTTATTTGCTTTTTAAAGACTAGTTGCCAGCAGGAGATAAACTGAGCAACATCTGAAGTTTGCCGTCTTCGTCACTGTGGTTTCAGTCATGATATATTAAGAAACAGTCCACAAATTGCCTTTTTTCCCCCCTTCTTCCTTTGGCTTGTATCCCCTTTTGTAAAATGAATTGGGCAGCCTGTTCAGCCCTGAATTATGCATTTAATTTCTCGCTCAATAGAATTACAGTCATAAAACACAGTGCTGAAGTGAAGATTTTTAACATGCCAAATGCAGCCCAGCTGCAAGAAAATTGATTGCCAAAACCAAATACAGGAAAGCAAAAATTCATCTGCGTTATCGCCACTTATCTTTGAATATGTGAGTGCCTTTACAACTTCAGATTTAAAGGAGTAGCCTTTATTTTTAGTCTTCGGGAGAGCGCCGTTAGCTGCGAACTAAAGTGTCTGACACCGCTGATACACGGTATTCTTCTGTTGACATGAAAATAAACTCTTCGCAGCAAATGAGTATCCGTATTCCTCTCCCCACACTCTCCACTCACTCTGCGTGCTTTCTTGTGAAATTGCTGCTCGCTCGTAGCAGCTTCTCTTATGACGTGATCTGGTAATCCATCTTCAAAGCTTCTCCCCCCTCCTCTCTCGCTCTCCTGGGTTATCGTGGGTGGATGCGCTGTAGCCCGAATATCATATGCATGAAAAATTTGCCATCCCTGCACTTTTTTGCCTCGTATGTTGCGGCACAGCAGTTGATGGATAGAATGTGTCACCTAGTGCATTGCTCAGGGCAAGAGGCAAGCTTTTGAAGGTGGAGGGGGGCAGAGTTTGTCCCTGAGAGTCAGGAGACCGGAAAGCAAAGGCCAAAGACCTGGCCGCTTTGTTCGCGTTAACTACCATGACTTGACAGGGGCACACAACTCGCACAACTGAATCTGCACATGTTTGTAGATTATCTCGAATGAGGTCCCAAAAAGCTCACCTGAGTGGAAAATGCAAGGACCAGAGATGAGGCCTTCGCTTTGTGGCTGATTGATGGTAAAGTGTTTATGCTAAGCTTCAGCAGTTCAGTTGTAAAATTAAAAATCTTTTTTTTTGTCTGCACAGGTGCTGCTTTTATGGGGTTTATTTGAGATATTTAAGGGGCCGTATTAAACCATTAGCATATTATATTCACTACAATGGCGTGTTTGATGGTGTGTGACCAGCTTGGGGTTTTTTTTCTTTTAATGTTTCTGCACAAATATGACCTAAAATATCAGGTTTTCACAGAAATCTGCCAAAAAGTACACAAGGATAACCCATGTTTAATTATCCAGTAGGAAAATTACCCATTATTGCATGCGTGTAGGTCAGCCACGTCTCATGACAGTTCATGAAATACGAAAAATTTGCCACTTAGCCATTGCAAGGAATGCATTTAAACAGGAAACATCTTGTGTCAAACATACAAACAAAAGTTTTAAAAGATGTGACAATTGCTGTATTTTAAACAAAATCCTATATTTTATAAAGCTGAGCCAGTCATTTTTAATACCTGAAGAAGAGGTGGGTTGGAAGTAAAAATATTGTATCGATACTAGAACAGTAGGGTGAATACTTTTCTAAGAATGGTTTAAAAATGCATGAAACACTTAAAGGTGTTTTTGTTGTATTAACTAATTATAATAAATAAATCACATGAGTAAAACTCTGTGATTTAGTAGTCGTTAGAATAAAAGTGCTCAGAATTTGCAAATTGGTGATTATTCATCTCGTCGTATTGGTATTGACAGTAATGGTCCTGTATTTACTTGCTATAGGATCGATGCATTTGACTCGAAGTGGGTCTCTGAGATGAAAGTCAAGACGAGTTACTCCTCCACGATCTCTTCATCCAACAAGTGCAACCTTTTTGGTTTTTAATAATGAGTAGACTACGCATGAGAGCAGCAGAGGTAAAAGCACTAATTCAAGTTCTTTACTTAAGTAAGAGTGGAAAAAGTAGCACTCCTCAGAGTATAAAGTTAAAATGTAGCTCTTTGGAAGACATTTCTACCTGCTATTTTTATGCAAAGGAAACTGAACCCCATGCAATGTTAACAATGTAATAATAAAATAGTGTTATTACAAGAGAATACAAGTTTAAATTTAGTTTAAATTCTCATTCTAATGAATGTGTTCAGCCTAAATATCTGTTATTGATGAATTCAAGCTGTCTGCTATCCTTGACTTAACCTAGCATTGAACTATGAGCACCACAGCCAGTCTGCACTAGTCCAACACAGTGCATCACTGTAAACTTCATCACAGTACCGCAGACTAACCACTAAACTACACGGTATTATGATATTAATAATCTATCCTTCATTTCGTGTCCTTTCCTAGATTTTTCCTCCATCTCTTTTTTTCGTGTTGGG